GGGTAGTAGGGGGGTCCCTGCAGCCAGCGCTGCCTCCCCCCATGGCCTCTGAGATGCCCGGCCCACTGTGGAGTTGGCTCCCCCAAGCTGGCAGGTGTTCAGGGTGTGCCAGGTGCAGCAGGAGCCGTTCCCCACACCTGGGCAGGGCAGGGGGGTCCCTGCCAGGTCCCCCTGTGGACTTCCCCCCACACCCAAGGGAAATCAGCCCTGAAATCGTCCCCTTCTGGCAGGGCGTGGCCAAGGCACCGGCAGGCCGCAGAGGCCCTGGCGGAGAGAGCCCCGGGCAGAGCGGGATGCTGGCACCGGCTATGTGGCGGACACGGAGCCTCCTCCATGCACGCTTCAGGAAAACATAAACCAAAGCAACCAACAGCGGAACCACCATGCGTCAGGCAGCTCCGCAAGGGGAAAGTGGGGCTGGTGCCGGGCCTGATGCCCACAGCTGCCCAGCCAGGCCGGGGACACCAAGTTGCCAGGGGCCTCTAGAGCTCCGGGGTTGCGTCGGTTCCAAGTTTCTGACCCCCATGAACCTGGGGTCCCACCATGACTCACCCAATGTGGTCGACCACAGAGGAAAGGGGAACCCAAGTTGCCAAGGAGACCGTAACATTGTGAAAGCCACCCCTCCCTGCAGTGGGTGACGCTCCAGAGGCCACGCAGTAGCTGCTCATGTGGACACGACCACCCCACTCTCCCCACCCATGCCTGGTGGGCGGCCAGGCCTCCAATGAAGCCAGCGACAGTCCCCAGCCCCGAATCCCTCTCCAGAGCCCCTCTTGGAAGCGGCGTGGGTGGCAGGTGCAAAGGACCTCCGGGAGCGGCAGCCGGCACCCACCAGCACTGCCTGGGGCACCTACGGGAGCCCCAGGAATCAGCGGCTCCTAATGGACCATGCGGCTCAGCAAACCCTAGAGATAACCTCAAGAAACTGGGCCCGGCCCCCAGAGCCGGCAGGGACACAACAAGGTCAAGCCTCAGTCGGGAGAGGCAGGACATAGACATCGTGGGAGGCGGTGCTCAAAGTTGATGACGCTCTTTGACGTGAAGCCTGGGGAATGCCGCTGCGCCAGTGCAGGCCACTGGGCTGCCGGGCGGGCCCCAGACTGATGCTCGCGGGTCCTGTGCATCCTCAGCCTCTGTGGCCCCCTGGTGTGGATGTGTCGGGTCACACACGGGGCATGGGGCTCCCCTGACAATTGGCACAGCCTGGACTCACAAGATGCACCAGCGCAATTCTGGGGACACTCTCCTCCGTCCTGGAGCAAGAACGGAGCGGGCACTGCCTTTCCCTGCTCTGGGGAGACACACTCCCTGACCAGGCCTCTCTCACACAGCTTCATGATCTTCTTGCACTTGACCTTGGACTCCTCGGCCAGGGGCCCAGTCCCAAGAACGACAGACACGTCTACACTGGCTGGAGTTTCTCCTCCCTCCATCTCCAGACCATCAAAACACATGAGCCCCTGCATGCCTGCAGCGCCCACTGAGGAGCGAGAGGGCTGGGTGGGGGCTGTGGCTCACGGCTACACGTCACACCCCCAGAGGCCTCGGCTCCCGCCAGCTGGGGCCAGTCGGGCAAGCAGGTCCAGTGTGGCCAGAGACCAGGTTTTTAAAGAGAAGTCAGAGACGCAGATTTTTATGTTAAATCTCCTGATTTTAAAATGCCAACAACTAATTCAAATGTTTGAAAAAAACACTGTGTAAGATGATATAAATTTGTCCCTGGGCCCGATTTGGACTGTGAGTGCCAGTTTCTTGTCAATGAGTGAACACCCCAGAGCAGCGAAGGCATTTCGTTTCAGTGCTACGCCCCCCGTTGATGGCAGAGTGCCGGAGAGACGCCGCCTGTGCCCTGTTGTCTAGGCGAGGACAGGGCTCTGCTTACCGGCTTGTGTTGGTGGCAATAACTGACGGGAACCAAGCCCTTCCCAGAGTTAGTGACTTAAAGTCACATCTTGTCATCATCTGTCACAGCTCTCGGCTCGGCAGGATCAGCAGGGGGTTCTCACGCGGGGTCCCTCCTGCGCTGGAGCTGGGCGGGTGTCCGGGACAGCGCACTTGTGCTGTAGTCGTTGATCCCAGAGCTCGGGGCATCTCGGCCCATGGCCCCAGGGCTCCAAGGACAAGGTTCCCAGAGGCCGTGGTGGCTTCTCAGCCCCCAGCCTCGGACGCCCTGCAGCCGTTGCTGCTGCATTCCTCTGGTGAAGCACGTGGCTAAAGCCAGCCTGGTGCCACAGGGAGGGGAGTGAGACGCCACGTTTTCACGGGAAAGACAGCTGCCTGTGATGTCTCAGACTTCAGGGTGGTTGTGACAACTTGAAGGCTGGAGGAACTTCGTTTTCCCAACCGGGGAAGTCAGGCCCCGAAGACACCCAGGGCGATGCCATGGCAAGGCCACTGTCATGGTGAGACACTCAGAGTCAGAAGATAGATTTTTACAGAGCACGATGGGGGCAGGAGGCCGCTTTGGGGGCGAAAGGCCAGCCGGACAACAAGCGCGGAGACTGTCCCCACTGGGTCCTCTAGGTGGGCTCATTTGAGTGTCCGTGGAGGCTCTGCGGGCCACGGTTCTGTGGGGACGTCACCCCACCATCCTCTCTGCTTGGCAGGAGCTTCAGCTGAGTGTGTGGGGCACCCACAGCTCCGCAGCCGTGTCCTGCAGACCCCAGGGCTCCCTTTGCCAACCAGCACGAGGGCAGAACAAGATGGAAATGCAGCCGCAAGGGACAGCGGTGCCCCTGAAGTTCTGAGATCAAAGCCTCAGAGAATTCCCCACCAAGTCCTCACTTCCACCCCACCCGCACGCAAAAGCCTCGGCACGAGACAGGCATGGCAGGCTCTGGGCAAGCCCAGGGCGGGAGCTTCTGAATCATAGCTGGGCCAGGCGCTGGAACAGGTGGGTTTACGCCACGTCGAGGCTACCAACCGAGGCGGCCTCCAGTGCCGACCAGCGTCGTGACCAGTTCTTCCTGTGGCTTTATTCTTTCTTTCTTCCTGTTTTCTTTGTAAAGAAGCATCACTATGGAGTGCGTCCCTACCCTGCAGACGGGGAATACTGAGACCTGCTTCCCAACAGGGGTCCCTTTGGGAATATTTTTGGAGCCTCCTGGAAAGTCTGGGTGGAGACAAGCATCATTCATTCATGCATGCATTCATTCGGCAAGCCTCCTCTGAGCTTTCCCAGTGCTGGGATGTGGACAGGGAGGTGACTCGGGTTCTGGGTCCCAAACCTACGCCGCTGAGCTCCGTGAAGTTGGCGCTGTCAACATCCGCCTGGCGCCTCCTCCAGGACAGCAGAAATCTCCCAGGGCTCTCTCAGGCCTCTGCCGCGCTGTTTCTCCTGCTGTACTCTCGAGTCTTCTGGATCTTTCCTGATGGGAAGGCCATGCAGGAATAGGCTGGTGCAGCGGGTTGTGGAGAAGAAGGGACCTTTAACACGCAGGGGCTGATGAGGACTCGAAGGCACAGGCCACACATGAAATCTGCATTTCCTGCCCTCGGCTTTCACTCGCGCCGTCCTGATTTTACAGCCTGGGTCCCAGAGAGGGGCACGGGTCGGCTCGTGGAATGCCAGTGGCCTCGGTGATTCTGCCGGTGCTTTTGTTGCTATTTGAAACCAAGGAATCGGCTCCTGAGCGGGGTTAAGCTGGGCGAACATCTGCCAGGGTCGAGCCCCTGCTCACCTCCTTGTCCTCTCAGCAGCCCAGGGCAGCAAGACGTTCCCTCCAGGCGGCACCACGGTCCTCTGCTGCCCACGCTGTGGGACATTGGTGGCACAAACCCCATCACACTGAAGCATGCTTTGGAGAATGGGCCTCACTAGCCTGCGACTGTGAAACCCCCACGCCCCAGAGGCCCCGAGAAGGGGGAACATGCGGACCACATAGTGCACACTCGGTTCTGTGTACTCAGGGAAGCCACGAGTGTCACTCACTCGTGCCCGGGCCACCTGTGGGAAGACTCACACCTGCACGTGAGGTTGCTGCCCAGGTTCACCCCAGCACTGATCTCTGGGAAGAGGCGCCCCCCACGCAGGGCACAGGCCCCCAAAAGTGTGGATTCCCACGACCAGAAGTTCACACACAGGCCCCTGGTTCCACGACCTCCTGCCCTCTTCCCACGACTGCTGTTCACCCCGTTCCTGACGGCTGGGTGTGGCCCCCTCAGACCACGGCCCAGCATGTCCCAGGGACTCCACGGAGCCGACTGTCGCCGGCCCCGAGTGGGGCCATGTTGCAAGAGACAGCAAAAGTGGCTCGTGTGTTCAGGCAGAGAAATCGCTGCCATCTTTTTAAAACTAAAATTTTTATTTTGTGATTATTGTAGATCCACACACAGTTGTAGAAATAATGTGGTAAGATCCCTAAATTCATGCATTTTCCCCCCATGGAGCGCGCCTGGAAGCTGTGTAGTACCTGCCGCAACCAGGATGCCGACAGATACGACCTGCTCAGCTCGCTCGAGTTTCACCTGCCCCTGTGTGCGCACTTGGTTTATGCAACTTTCTCACACGCGCGGGTTTTGCATCTGCCAGCATCGCAGGAAGAGAACCTTGATGCGCAAGGGTGAGAGGGCTCTTCAGTGGCCAGAGTGTGACACGGTGCCCACCCGCTCCACGAGGATGTTCAGTGGAGGATGGGCGTGGGGGCGCGGGAGTTGTGGAGGTGTGGGGGGCATGGGGGTTGTGTGGGTCATGGGGTTGGGGGTGTGTGCGGGTTGTGGGGGACATGGGGGTTGTGTGGGTCATGGGGTTGTGTGGGGTGTGGAGGCATACTTGGGGGGGACATGGGGCCAGCTCTTACCCCAGGGGGAGGAGGGTGCAAGGTGTCGGGCAGGAGCAGAAGGGAAGGTCCGCCCCAAGCAGCGCATGTGCCCTAAGCAGGACTCACCTCTGTGATGATGAAGAAGTCGTCCCCCGGCTCCCCCTGGACGACGATTTTCTCTCCGTCTTCAAACTGGACGGGCTCCAGCGCATCTGCCACAGTCAGGCGCTCCCACTTCTCCAGGGACTCTGTGGCAGGAGGACAAGGACAGAGTCACTGGGCGGCACCTCGTCACCAAGGCCAGGACGAGGCACCCGCTCTGCCCAAAACTCGTCCTCAGAAACCACCACGGAATCAACTTTGTAAGAGAAGGAGGAAGAAGCAGAAAGTAGCAGAGGCCACTAAAGCCGCTCCCAGCACCTGCGCCTGCAGGGCCTGGGGACTCTGACCAGCTGGGTTGGGGGGCACAGCTTGGGATTGGGGGGGCCATTCCCCACTTACTGCTGGCGAAACTGAAATAATAGGGACAGAAAATTGAGTTCAAGTTAAGTTCGTACGAATATACTTTTGTGATGTTCAAAGGAATGGAGCAGCCTATATTTTTGCAGACAATAGAGTCACCGCTAAGCACCGCGGCTACTAAGTGCCTTAAAATAACCCAGAGCAGCGAAGCGATCGCCCATTCAGAATAATCGCCGCCCTCCAAGGGCCGCTCCGAGAATACAGAATCGCATTTGCGCTGCGCTGTCAAGGCAGAGTGTAGCTTCCATTGTTCAGGTCAAAATACTTCACTCCAAAGCCAGGTTTTTCTCTAACAGCTGCAAATGCATAACCCACCCTCTCCCACCTTCCCTTCCCTGTCACTGTCCATCCCTAAGTCTTAGAAGGAAGAAAAAATAACCATGGGAGATTTTATAAGAAAATAATGATCACCTGATCAACTATTTCTTTCTTGGCAAAGGAAACTTTGCTGGCCACAAGCTACAAATGAACAGCCAAGCGTTTATTTTAGATCTAGGTTAGGAAGGAGATTTCTCTTCTTAAAAACTCTTGCCTGGAAGGAGGACAATGCCTCCCGCTAACCCCGGGCCTGGTGACAGGCAAGGCTGCTGGTCTGTGTTCAACAGCTCCGAGCTTTGTCCCCGCAGGCGGCACCTCGGCACACACCTGCGGCTACAGAACGCAGGTAACTCATGAGCAAAACTGGCCTGTGTTTAGGAGGAAAGGGGTGCAGAATCAGACTGGCCATGAATCCAGAGCAGTTTTGTTTCTTGGTTTCCTTACAAGGGCAGTGATAAGAGGCGTTTCATTACAGAAGTCAGCGGCAGTTAGGAAGTTCATTTCCATATATTTGATTAGCAAGTTTTTCTCTTACATTTAAAACCTGCAGTATTCTGAGGTCTGAAAAATTAAGATTAGCAATAACTTTATCTCCCAACAACATAAATCTTAGGTGAAAACTGTCAGAAAAAACTATATGTTGGGGCCCAGTGCAATGGCTCACACCTGTAACCCTAGCACTCTGGGAGGCCAAGGCGGGAGGATCGCTTGAGCTTAGGAGTTCAAGACCAGCCTGAGCAAGAGTGATACCCGTCTCTACTAAAAATAGAAAAATGTCTCAAAAAAAAAAAGAGGAAGTAACTATATGTTGGGCCGTGGAAACTTTTTGACCCAACTTTTTAAATGTCTCAAGCCTGTGAACATTTCATGAAACACAAAACATTTGGGGGCATTTTTGTTGTTTACTGCAGTTGAGACCCCCCATGCCTCAGGACACACGGGCTAGTGGCCAATCCCACACAGGAATGGGGTGGGAGGCTGCTGAGCCCCGCGTTTAATGGTCACGCCCTTTTCTGAAAGGTGTTTCCAACCCTGCACCGTGGGAGGTGTGCTGAGTAGGCGCAGGCAGGCGTCCCAGAAAGCACCGCACAGAGGTCGGCCTGCAGCCACGGGGCTCGACAAAGCCAGGGCGAGTAAACCTGCCCAGAAAGGGAGACCCCGCCCTGCGGGCTCAGGGTAATTCTGCAGGTTCACCCGCAACATGCAGACTGTGCTGAGGGTGGGAGTTTCTGGTCCTGGGGCCGAACCGACGTCCACCAGGAGCGGGGGACGCCCCAGGGGCAGCAATGCACAGTGGCCGAGTTTCCAGCAAGGGAGAAATGCCAAAGTCACAGCTTCGGGCTCCCTCCAAGGCGCCCCGCCTGCCAAAACCCGCCATGAGGCACTGTCCCGCCAGCTACTTTTTGAAGGATTTTGTGCAGCTAATGGTGACTGAGCAGGAGGAGGGGATTACAGTCTTGTTGTTTTTCCTCCGGAAGGCCGTGGAGAAGCTGGTCACACTTGGTGGCTATCGCATTAATCAAAGGAAAACAAAACGGGCGGACGGGAGGCCGGGCGGGGAGAGTGTCTGACAGGCCGACAAAAGCCAAGACACGGCAGAAGGAAACGGCTGCCAGCCTGGGCCTGCCTGCTCCAAACTGCAGCACCCGTCAGTTCAGCCCCAGGGTCACCAGCGCCTCCGCCGGTGCAGGAAGAGGGTCTCAGCTGTCATTGTGGCGGCAACAAGACCGGCGGTTGTTAGCGCGGCAGCACTAGTGAATGAATGAATCTCAGGGGGTGGGACTGAGGTTTCAGCACCGGTGCTCTGGCATGTGAGAGTGCGCACGTGTGTGTGTGTCTGTGTCCCAAACCTGCACGGTACCCGGAAGTTGCCACGCGGGCAATGGGAAAACGGCCTGGGTGGCCGCAGGTGCCCAAAGGAGGCAGAGGAGTCCACATACGGACAGACGGGGCCACTGACCTAGGATGGAGACCTTGCTCAGGAACTCTTCGTACATCTTGCGTTTTCTCAGCGTGCTGCCCTGTTTGGGAGAGAGGAGAACAGGGAGAAGGTGGGTCTCCGTGCCTGAAGCCTCCGACATTCCCAGATGTTCCCACATGACCCTGAACTCTTAAAGGGAGACCCTGTGACATTCTAAGTCCTGAGAACCCTCCAATGGCCAGGGGTCTGTGTGAGCTACCACGTTGCCCATGCCTGGTCCCTCCTCTGGAGAGACTCCATGCTGTTTCTCAGTGCCCTGGCTGGCAGCAGGTGACCCCACCCTGCATGGGCCAGCGCGTGGTCCGAGAGGTGTGCACAGCCAGTCTGAGCCCTGAACCTGGATGTCTACTTGCTGGAGGGTGCTCATAGCTGAGAGGGTGGATGCTGGGTGTGTCCGCGGCGAGGGTCCCTCACCCACCCCAGAGCTGCCCCGGCCCCTAGACACATGCACACCTAAAGAGAAACAAAGGCTAACACAGGGGATCGAGTATGTGATGTGGACGAGACGATACAGCTGACATCAGCTAAGACCCTGGATCCAGACGCGCCTGAAGCTGGCTTCATCTGCATCCTTCCCAGTTAAAAGAGGCAAGAAATCCGCCCTCAGCCCCAATAAAGGCGAGATGAATAATACAATACCAGTGACAGGCCTAGTCAGCATTATGTGAGTTAGAAACTAGCACTCACTCTGGCATCAGGATTAGAAATGTGGACTAGAAAAACGCAGCCTGGCCAGGCACGGTGACTCACGCCTGTAGTCCTGGCTCTTTGGGAGGCTGAGGCAGGAGGATTGCTTAAGCCTAGGACTTTGAGGCTGCAGTGAGTTACGATGACACCACTGCACTCCAGCCCTGGGTGACAGAGCATGACCTTGTCTCAGGAAAAAGAAAAAAGGCGCACCTCGTTGAAGCACACGTCTCACAAGCTGACGGGCCCTTATGCAAATGAGAATAAGGCCCTGCCCCTAGGCGGTCAGCCCCAGCCCAGTAAGTCAAAAGCAGCCTGGATCTCAGCCCCTTTTGCCCTCTGTTCCAGGCCTTTGTGCAGTGTGCGAACTCCACAACTGCACATAGCAGCCCTGCCAGTGAGTTTATTAAGCGCTGTGCATTCGGAGACAGACGGTGCATGGGGAGAGAAGTAAGCCTGGTTTTGTTCAAATTCAAATGGCCTCATCAATTGATGAAGGCCACGAATTCAAGGAGGGAGTCCCCTGGCATGTGAATGGGATGGAGAGACAGTATCTGCTGGTGATGGAGCTTTTCTGTGACCATTGATCAGTCGTCACCTTGGTGGAGAGAGGAGGGAAGGAGGGCACCTGCCATGCTGGGAGCGCCCTCCATTTCAGAGTGGGCCCAGGCTCTTAGACACCCCGTCTTCGTGGGCCTGTGACAACCCCGTAAGGGGAATGCATCATTATCTTTATTTCCAGGGGAGAAAACCAAGGTTCAGAGGGGCTGAGTCACCACCCAAGGCAGTAATGAAAACCCAGCCTGGGCTCTGGAAGCCCCAGGGCTGTGCCAGCACCTGCACCTGTCAAACGGCAGGTGTTTAACTTTCCTGATGTGCTACTGCACACGTCCTTGCAACACCCCGAGATGGAAAACCACGAGCACGGTTTACAAGGCACCTCCCCTCTGGGCCTGCAGGCTGACTGCCCAAGCTCACACACGGGTGGGGTGTGCAATTCTGAACACCCCCCTCTCCTCTCCTCCTTCCGACATCTGGCATGTGGAGAGCATGGCCAGTGCCCCAGCAGCCCTGCCGGGCCCTTGGGAACAGAAAGAGCAGCAAGGTAAGGGAGCCCTGGTGCCCTGACCCCACAGAAGAACACTGCCCCCAAGATGGGCTGCTTCCAGAGCTCTTGAACATGAGAAATGACCCTAGGGTTAAGCCCCTGCTATTCTGAGTGTTTGTTGCACCTGGTGTGGCAGCCCCCCTCCTGGCATTCACACCTGTGGTCCTGTCCACAATGACAGGCTGACCTGTGCAACCAAGAGGACGCTAAGGAATGATGGTTCCAGATTTCCAAAGCGAGATTGTAAAAGGCACTGTGGCTCCTGCCCAGCTCCCGCCAGGATCTCTCAGCCATGGAGAGGCTCCCAGGAGGGGCGGAGCCTCCTGCACCATGCGGCCAGCAGAGGCAACCCTCGGCCCTCGACCTGCCAAACCCCCCCATGACCCCAGGAGAGGTCCAGCCAGGGCCACCTCTAAGCCGCTTCCTTCATGAGCCACAGAAACTACCTGACAAATGTTGCATTACTGCCACAGGCCACTGAGTTTGGGGGAAATTTGTTACTCAGCAACAGCTACTATGTCCAGCTACACTGAATCTTAAGGGAGGAAATGATAAGCTCTTCTAGGGCCTGCGGTGGGTTTGCATAGCGCCCACCCTGTGGCTCTCCCAGCTGCCACATGTCCGCTGGCTTCAGGGGTGCCACTCCTGCCTAGCCACAGAGATGGCCCTGATGCTCCCAGGATGCTTCCCTGCCTCCCTGCGCCCCTGCAGCAGCAGGACCTCCCTGCACCCAGGCCTGCAGCTCCTGTCAGCTCACCAAGCAACGCAAGAAGATGGGGGGAAAAGATGGATCCAGCATGAGGAGTAAGACTCCAGACGGCAGGAGCCCCAAACGCCTGTCTATCTCCCCAAGAGTAGAAATCACAATCAGACCTCGGGTGGCCTTTACCACGTGCCCCGCGGGGAGCGGGAGCGGCTGTGCTCAGGTGTGCCGGTGTGCACTGTCACAGTCCACAGCCCAGACAGCCGAGGACGCAGAGAAAGCAGAGGTGAGCACGCCGGAGGGACGTGTCCAGAGGTACACCACTGTGCGTGGTGGCGCAGGGTCTGCCCTGCCTGTCCCCAGGGCCTGCACCCACCACTGCCCCTCCTCGTCTCTCGACACCACCACAGAGGCAAAACCTGGAGTTGTGGCTCTAACCTCCGAGAGTGGACAGAGGACGTGTACAAAGTGTGCCCAGGTCGCCTTTAGAAAGGGACCCTTTAAGGCATTGAAGGAGGCTCTGTCGTGGGGAGAGAGGGGGCCACGGCAGGGGGGTGGCCAGCAGTGCCCTGGATGCGGAGCACAGAGCCTGAGCAGCCCCAGGTCCTCGCCCTCCCCGCCGCTGGAGGATGCGCAGTCACTGGGGCAGGAGCCCCTGCAGGGAGGTGGGGGAGGGGAGAAGGAGGCAGGTGGGTCTGCTGTGGAAGGGAAAGGGCTGGCGGGGAAAGGCTGGACAAAAGACACACAAGGCGAAAGCCTGTCCCTGGAAAATATGACAAAAATGCAGTGGCAATGAAGTGGGGGAGGGCTGGCTCGTACGTCCCCAGGGCACGGGAGGCTTCCACAGGCCAAACCAAGGGTTTTTCCACAGTTGCTTATTCTGGCCCCCCCATGGCGAGCCGACCTTTCCCACGTGTCCCAAGCTGCCAGGCACAGGCCATTTCCGGCCCCCTGACCCTCCCCCCCGACTTGCTCCTTGCTCCTCAATGTCCAGAAACGCAGATTCCCGGAGCTGAGCCGAGCCTCCCGCTCACAGCACAAAAGTCAGAGCCCCGTGAAGGCGCGGCCCAGCCTGACACCCGACAGGCAGGAGGCCCCTGAGGATGCCCCGCCCAGCCTCCCAGGCCGCAGCACAGAGGACACCGTGGGCACCACATCAAGTCCGTGAGTGTGGATTTGGATGTGCCACCTGCATCATGGAACCCTGCTGACAGGAGATAATAAAAATCCTGCCCCACCGCGTCACTGCAAGGACCGAGTCTCAACAAATGTTCCTCATGTTGCTGCTGATGGTGACGGTGATGGTGATGATGGTGGTGGTGATGATGATGCTGGTGATGATGATGATAGTGATGATGGTGATGGTGATGGTGATGATGGTGATGGTGATGGTGATGATGGTGATGGTGATGATGGTGATGGTGATGGTGATGATAGGGATGGTGATGGTGATGATGTTGGTGATGATGCGGATGGTGTTGGTGATGACGGTGATGGTGATGATCACGGTGATGATGGTGATGGTGACGATGGTAATGATGGTGTTGGTGATGATGGGGATGGTGATGATGATGGTGATGGTGATGGTG